ACATACACTCCCGCAACGATTCGCATGAACGGGGTGCGATTATGAAGCGGTGCAGAATTTGCACAAAAACCAGTGCGAATTCCGCACATCAGTGTGAACCCAGGCTCATGGCATTGGCAGGCTGCATTGTTCTAAATCTCGTGGCCAGGGCACAGACATCTTGGTTATTTACGTGTGAGGGGAATCCTATGTTTGTGTTCTATGAAGCATTTATTTGCAGTGGTTACATGAGCAGGGGTGGACTGACAACTCATGGGGCCCCCGGGCAATAGGGGATCATGGGGCCCCTGTGTCCTTGCCCAAACTCAAAAAAGCCTATGAAAAAGGTACCAGGGGCATCTCATGGGGTCCCCTACTGACCCCGGGCCCTCGGGCAGTGCTCGAGTTTCCAAATGGTCAGTCCGCCCCTGTACATGAGAATAAACTCAAGTAGAATAGCTTGGAAGTCAGCTACAGACTTCAAACTACTGTAATCCTCCTACAGACAAGCCATTAACATTATGGGATTAGCATAGGCCGTGGGTGGGGACATAGATCCTTCTAAAAATAGTCGCGCTAATCTTTGGTGATGATTGCGAGGTTATGTACAGCGATTTATAACCGTGTATTATATGCAGTGATACTGCAGTCTATAAATACCTGTTGGCCTTTTCCAAGGACTACATTACATTTACAAGCTTCTATAATGCCCAACTTGGCATTTAGCCCTTTCACTGCCGGGGCTTTTTTTTCATGTTCCACACACCTATTAAAATCTGCATTTTTGGCTAACACTATACTTAAAACCCATTATTCTGCAGTCAGAGGCCCTGTGGAATTAAAATATTTTTTTTTTTGTATTTTTGTTTTTTAATCTCCAGTTTTTTGGGAGAAAAAAAAGACGAGGTTGTGTTGAATAAACAGATATCTATATATGTTAGACCTCAAGTAAGTTATAGGAGGTTTTCCGCATGATTGCCAACATCCCTAATCTCAGATTCGCTTATGACAAAGTTTGTCTTAAAAAAGCAATTAAAAATAAATTTTATTACATAAAATACCAAATACCACCCAACCCGTACTCTTTGCTCCTCACAAGACCTCCTACTTTCTAGCTCCTTGGTCTTCTCCTCCCACGCCCGACTGCAGGACTTCTCCAGGACTTCCCCCATCCTCTGGAACTCACTACCCCAATCCATCAGACTGTCACCTACCCTCCTCACCTTTAGGCACACCCTGAAAACCCATCTCTTCAGGGAAGCCTACCCCACCCTCACCTAACCTAACAGCCGAATCTCCTCCACTCCTCCTACCACTACATCCCCCACATCCCCTCCCTCCTAGATTGTAAGCTCGAAAGAGCAGGGCCCTTGAACCCCTCGTGTATTGTTGTGTTACTGTATTGTCTCATGTACTGTCCCCCACTATAATGTACAGCGCTGAGCAAACATTTTGGCGCTATAAATACTGTATAATAATAATAATAATAATAATAATAATTTTAAAAGATATTGTTATAAGAAACTAATGTACAACATTGTATTTATGCAAGCAGAGACTCTAGACCGAGTACCCGACGTGTTTTGGAGGCAACGCTCCTTCTTCAGGGGTAACTATGCATACAAACGATAAGATCTGTAGCAAAATTAAGAACATACATTTTTTTACATTATACAAAAGAAAAAATCAGCGTAAAACAGCAAACAGCTCTGGTACCCATAATTATCAATAGGCAATCTTTTAAACTTTCTTTAGCTCATTAGTTAAGAGAGAACTGTTAAAAAATGTGGAACCTAGAGTTATTTCTCTATTCCTCCTACAAAGTTACAATATACAGTCTGATCACTGGGGGGGGGGGGGGAAGGAAACTGAGGAAATGCTTCCTCCTCCTTCTACAAAGTTACAATGTACAGTCTGCTCACTTAAGGAGGGAAGACTGAGGAAATGCTTCCTCCTCAGTCTACAAAGTTACATTGCACAGTCTGGTTACTGGGTGAGGGGAGACGAGGAAATGCTTCCTCTCCTTCTACAAAGTTACAATGTACAGTCTGATCACTGGGGGAGGGGAGACTGAGGAAATGCTTCCTCCCCTGTCTAGAGAGTTACATTGTACAGTCTGATCACCATGGGAGGGGAGACTGAGGAAATGCTTCCTCCTCTTCTGCAAAGCTACATTGTACAGTCTGACCACTGGGAGAGGGGAGACTGAGGAAATGTTTCCTCCTCAGTCTAGGAAGTTACATTGTAAAGTCTGATCTCCGGGGTAGGGGAGACTGAAATGAAATGCTTCCTCCTTCCTTCTACAAAGTTACAATGTACAGTCTGATCACCAGGGGGGGAGACTGAGGAAATGCTTCCTCCTTACTTCTACAAAGGTTACAATACTGGAGACTGAGGAAATGCTTCCTCCTTCCTTCTACAAAGTTACAATGTACAGACTGATCACTGGGGGAAGGGAGACTGAGAAAATGCTTCCTCCTCTGTCTAGAAAGTTACATTGTACAGGCTGATCACTGGAGGAGGGGAGACTGAGGAAATGCTTCCTTCTCTTTCTAGAAAGTTACATTGTACAGTCTGATCACCAGGAGAGGGGAGACTGAGGAAATGCTTCCTCCTTCCTTCTACAAAGTTAAAATGTACAGTCTGATCACTGTGGGATTGAGGAAATGCTTCCTCCTCCCTTCTACAAAGTTACAATGTATAGTCTGATCACTGGGGGGTTAGGAAATCCTTCCTCCACCTTTTGCAAAGTTACAATGGCATGCACTGTGATGCCTAACATGTACTCCAAAATCTGCACTTACATACATTTGCGCACTCTACACACAGGTTTGCATTCATATGTGTAGATATGATGCCACTTTCCATGTTTATTGCTACAACAACGAGGCAAACAACCTCCCTGTGTGAAAGCTCTGGGTAGGTGAGAGGGACTCTTTATGGAGACAACAGGGTCTAAAAGACCCTTTATTGTCTCCCCTGTCCTCTGCTCCAAGGACCAAGTACACAATGTGCTCGATTTGCTTTTTACCCCACTTTGAAAATGGGATTTTAATAGCCCCAAACCTGGAAGTGCTCAGAGCTGATCACTTACGTGTTCACACACTGCAAAAGACACGGGGGAATGGGTGTTGCTCAATGTCCTTTTGCTTGTCATCCTGAATTTTTTTTTCTAGTCCCAGGAGAAATGGGAGAGCCCAAGATCTACGGAGGGGGGATGGGCCAGAGGGCACCTTGTGAATAGTAAGCTTGTTTTCAAGTGGTTCTAAAGTCTAAACTTTTTTTTTAATCTTAATGCATTCTAAGCATTAAGCAAAAAAAAACGCTCCACTACCCATCCCCAAACACTTACCTGCCTCCTCTCACAATCCAGCACTGTCCCATCTGTAGCACCACTCCTTCTCTTCCTGGTCTCACAGGAGATACAGGCAGCAAAGGGGGCAATAGGCTCCTGCTGCTGTCAGTCAAATCCTGTGAGGAGGGATCAGGGGCATGATCGAGCAGCACTGTGTACATCTATGGACTGCCTGGTGGGGGACTCCAGAAGAGGAGGGAGGGGACCACTCTGAGCAATACCATTGCACAGATCAGGTAAGTATAATTTCTTTTTTATTTTAATTTTTTTAAAAATTGCCTTTAACCACTTGGCAACCGCCTCCTGTAGGAGTATGGCGGCAGAGCGGCTCTCCTGTCCCGGATCATACTGAAAAGTGAGACAGGGTAGAGCTCTGTCAATGTAAAAAACACAGAGCTCTGTTCTGGTAGCGGGGGATGTGCCTTTATTTTTTTTGTCTTTCTGCAAAGCAGGAAAAAAAAATGGCACATCTCTTAGTGAAAGCACCTCACAGTACACACATAAACACTGGTTAGGCACACATTTAACCCTTTGATCATCCTAGATGTTAACCCCTTCCCAGCCAGTGCTATTAGTACAGTGTCAGTGTATATTTTTAGCACTGATCACTGTATTAATGTCACTGGTCCCCACAAAGTGTCAAAAGTGTCAGTTAATGTCAGATTGCCTGCCATACTATCGCAGTCCCATTATAAGTCACTGAATGCCGCCATTACTAGTATAAAAAAAACAAAAAAATAAAACTTCCAGTATACAGTATATACCATAATTTACAGATGCTGAAACTTTCATGCAAACCAATATATACTGATTGGGATTTGTTTACCAAAAATATGCAGCAAAACCTTTCTGAAGAAATTTAGATTTTTTTAAATGTTTTTATTTGAATATTGTTTTATAGCAAAAAGTTAAAAAATATATATTTTTAAAGTTGGTCTTTTTTTATTTATAGCGCAAAAAAAAAAAACCCAGTGGTGATCAAATATCACCAAAAGAAAGATCTATTTGTGTGAAAAAATGATATAAATTTTATTTGTGTACAGCGTTGCATGACCGCACAATTGCCAGTTAAAATAATGCAGTGTCAGAAAGCAAAAAAAATGGCCTGGTCATGAAGCAGAGTAAATCTTCCAGAGATCAAGTGGTTAAAAACACTTTAACCTATTCAAAACCATGACACATCATTGCCAGTAAAAGGCTTAAGCTTAAATTAGCTAGTTACATAGTTTATAAGGTTGAAAAAAGACACCGGTCCATCCAGTTCAACATACGCTACATTGCCAAAAGTATTGGGACGCCTGCCTTTACATGCACATACAAACATTAATGGCATCCCAGTCCGTAGGGTTCAATATTGAGTTGGCCCGCCCTTTGCAGCCATAACAGCTTCAACTCTTCTGGAAGGCTGTCCACAAGGTTGTGTCATGGGAGGTTTAGGAAGTGCATTTGTGAGGTCAGGCACTGATGTCGGATGAGAAGGACTGGCTCGCAGTCTCTGTTCCAAATTCATCCCAAAGATGTTCTATCGGGCTGAGGTCAGGACCATTCAAGTTCCTCCACCCCAAACTCGCTCATCCACCTTTATAGACCTTGCTTTGTGCACTGGTGCGCAGTCTTGTTGGAACAGGAAGGGTCCATTCACAAATGGTTTCCACAAAGTTGGGAGCATGAAATTGTCCAAAATGTCTTGGTATGCTGACGCCTTAAGAGTTCCCTTCACTGAAACTAGGGGGCCAAGCCCAACCCCTGAAAAAACAGCCGCACACCATAATCCCCCCTCCACCAAATTTTACACTTCACACAATTCAGTCAGGCAAGTACCGTTCTGCTGGCAACTACAAAACCCAGACATGTCCATTGGATTGCCAGACATAGAAGTGTGATTCATCACTCCAGAGAACATTTCTCCACTGCTCTAGAGTCCTCTGGTGGTGTACCTTACACCACTGCATCTGATACTTTACATTGCACTTGGTGATGTAAGGCTTGGATGCAACTGCTTGGCCATGGAAACCCACTCCATGAAGCTCTCTACATACTGTTGTTGTGCTAATCTGAAGGCCACTCGAAGTTTGGAGGTCTTTAGATATTGACTCTGCAGACAGTTGGCGACTCCACTCTATCATTTTACATGGCTTACCACTTTATGGCTGAGTTGCTGTTGTTCTCAGTTGATTCCATTTTGTTATAATACCACTAACAGTTGACCGTGGAATATTTAGTAGCAAAGAAATTTCATGGATGGACTTATTGCACAGGTGGCAACCTATCACGATACCACACTTGAATTCACTGAGCTCCTGAGAGCGACCCATTCTTTCACAAATGTTTGTAGAAGAAGTCTCCATGCCTAGGTGTTTGATTCTATACACCTGTGGCCATGGAGGTGATTAGAACAGCTGAATCCAATGATTTGGAGGGGTGTCCCAATACTTTTGGCAATATAGTGTATATGTGTCTGAGATTTTTATTCTCTAACAATTCCCATATTCTGCTTCCTGAGGATAACATCTTAGGCTCCATGCACACTAAGAGCTGAAAAAAATGCTGAGTATTTGTTTCCATTGTTTTTCCCTTTTGTGTGCCAGAGTTTTGCAGTTTAGCTGGTTGTTAAGGAGTAGTCCGGCAAGCCAGCTGCCACATCCTTGACAACCGATGACTTATCAGCTTTCAGCAGGGTTCCCCATTGACAGCTGAATGTAAACAAAAGAATGCCAGCAATTACATTTGAGAAAAAAAGCAGCATGGGGGTCTCCCCAAATCCATACCAGGCCTTCGGGTTTGGTATGGACTGTAAGGGGAACCCTATTCCAAAATAAAAAAAAAAATGGTGTGGGGTCCCCACACACATCCACACCAGCCCCTTGGGTCTGGTATGGATTTTGAGGGGAACACCACAACAAATTAAAAAAAAATAATGTGGGGTCCCCCCAAAATCCATACCAGAAACTTATTCGAGCATGAAGCCTGGAAGGCCAGGAAAGGGGGGATGGGGAAGAGAGGGCCCCTCCTCTGAATCATACCAGGCCACATACCCTCAACATGGAGGGAGCTTAGGAGTAACATGTTGATGGGAAGAAGGGTCTCTTCCCTACAACCCTGGGTGGTGGTTGCGGGGGTCTGCATACAGAGGGGCTTATTGGAATCTGAAAGCCCCCTTTAACAAGAGCCCCCAGATCCTGCCCTCCCCCATAAAAGAGTATGGGGTACATTGTACCTACTCATTTTTTGACAAGTCCTTTATTCAAAAATAAACTTTTTTTTTCAACCCTCAAGTTATAGCAGTGCTGGACCTTAGACTACACAGTTTGTCACAGTTACTGAAATCTCCTTTGATATATTTGTACATTGTAATCATATCCCCTATTAATTGCCTCTTCACTAAAGTGAATAACTGTAATCTATGTGATTGGTCCTCAGAGCTGAGGTCCTTTATCCCCTTATTAATTTTGGTGCTATTCACTGAACTCTTTTTGATTCAACAATGTCTTTCCTGAGGATTGGTGACCAAAACTGAACTACATATTCAAGGTGAGGATGAACCATTTTTTTTAAAGGAGTAGAATTATTGATGTATCTCTTGAATGTGTGCCATTTTCAATGCAAGAGATTTTTTGCTTTGTTAGCAATGGCTTGGTATGTTATCGGTATGTCTGTGATCTACAAGCACCCTCAGATCCTTTTCCATTACTCATTCCCTCAAGGGATCCCCTCCTAATGTGTAGTTTGCATGTGTTTTTTGGTACCTGAGCATCCCCATGATTAAGCTCTGGGGGAGGGGGGAGTAAAATGCGTTGGAGATGTGGCCTGGCCAGAGCCCGAGCTGAGACTGCCACATGCTCTTATAATGGATTTGCAGCGATGTACGGCTTGAGGGATTTTTTCTTCACTACATGCTCATGTTTGTAGCCGAGTTGAGCTCCGTTCCCGGCCGGCATTCTCAGCAGTTGGCGACAGACTAGGATCCTCTGGAGCCTGAGGGGAACCTACATTTGTACATTAACCCAGGGGCGGACTGACCATTTGGAAACTCGGGCACTGCCCAAGGGCCTGGGGTCAGTAGGGGGCCCCATGAGATGCCCCTGGTACCTTTTTCATAGGCTTTTTTGAGTTTGGGCAAGGACACAGGGGCCCCATGATCCCCTATTGCCCGGGGGCTCCATGAGTTGTCAGTCCACCCCTGCATTAACCCAAGTGCCTAACTTTACATTTCTCACTATTAAGGATGCACTGCTACCCTTTTTTCATCAGCAAGTATGAGTACGGATACTTTCAATCAAGTACTCATCAATACCAAATATTGATACTTTGTGGTGTGATTTATGTCCATACAAAATGAAAGGGAGCAAACTGCACTGCAAAGAATAGCATACGATTTGAACAGGAATGCGATTCTTTTACAAACCACTTGCAGGTCCTTCACCGCTCCTGTGTGAACCCAGGCTTGTCATAGCTTGAGTTCACACAGGAGCGATGCAGGAAAACTCCCTGCACCGATCCCATGCTATCACACCACGAAAGCTGCTTCACAGGTCTGGGGATTTGAAATCCCCATGGCTTTTTCTCCTCTCCTTGCAGGGATGACAGTACAGGCTAGACAGCATCTGATTGATCAGCACCATGATGGTGCTGACCAATCAGAAGCTGTCTAGCCCACTGCAAGGAGAGGAGAGAAAGCCATGGGTATTTCAAATCCCCAGCCCTGTGAAGTGGCTTTTCCTTCTATGACAGCATGGGATTGGTGCAGGGAGGTTTTCTGCATGGCTCCTATGTGAACTCTGGCTATCACAAGCCTGGGTTCACACAGGAGCCATTAGGAAACCGAATACAATTTGGACAAGAGTTGCATTCCTGTTCAAATCGCATGTTATTCTTTCGGGTGTGAGTTGCGCCCATTCATTTTGTATGGATGCACCGCAAAGTATAGGTTTCGAATATTGGGAGCATTTTCACGAGTATGAGTACTCATGAAAATACTCAGTATCGGTGTATCCCTAATTAGTATTGAACCTAATCTGTTTTCCAACCCCCTATTATAGTCAACATCTTCCTGTAATGATGCTATATCCTTTGCCAAAGTTATTTCCCGGCATAATTTAGTATCATCAGCAAAAACTGAATTTTTACTTCTGATTCCAACCTCTATATCAATAAAGTAGAACTATATGCAAATTTTTTTTTTATGTTGGATGGACAAAGGCAGGGTAATAACCTCTGTCAGATTTTTTTTTTTGGCATCTGTGTCCCCTTGGGGAGATTTCCCAGGGGAATCCCTTGGAGGCCCCCAGTTCACCAGAACTAAGGTGTCCCCATTGAAAGATTTCCTTTCTATTACTTTTCTGGGGACAAGCCAAAATTTCGGCATGTTCTTTCACTTTATTTATTATTACAGGTACTTATATAGCGCCATCAATTTACGCAGTGCTTCACATCAGCTTCTGCCCTCAAGGAGCTTACAGTCTAAGGTCCCTAACTCACATTCATACATACACATACTAGGCCAATTTAGAAAGGATTCAATTAACCAACCAGCATGTTGTTAGAGTGTGGGAGGAAATCAGAGTACCCATAGGAAACCCACAGAAGAAAATGGAGAACATGCAAACTCCAGGCAGGTAGTGCTGTGGTTGGGATTCTAACCGACAACCCCAGTATTGCTAGGTAGAAGTTCTAACCACTTAGCCGCTGTGCTTTTCACTTTCAACAAGAATGTTAAACAGGACAAATAGAGAGGGTGAATATTTCTAACGGAAACAAGGACAGCAATAAAAACCTAATAGGTGTTCTAATCCCTCTCTACTCTGTCCTAAACTAAAACAAAGTTTTGCCTTTAGTTATACTTTAATAAACAAATTTTCTACTCAAGTAGAGAAAATGAACTGTACAACTTTGCATACCTTTTGTTTTCATGCACCGGGAATGTATTTAGCTAATTTAAACTGAAAGCTCAAGTGGGCTTTAAAGTATACCGGTCTTGCAAGAAATATAGAGACCTGCCATGACTTGCTTCATAGTAATATTCTGTGTAAACAATATGACAGCAAAGTTTCCACTAGGGTCTCTCACATATAGATGTATGCACCCTGTATTAAACAATACATCTCCAATTTAGATACCAAACTTCCAATTTAGACAGTCTGCTATACACACACCTGTAAAGCAAGTCTTGCATGTAAAACCACAAACCAGGACATCAGCCAAGTCCTAATAATTATGTTTACTATGCTTCGGCTTCACATGCTGCACTTAAGGCTGCCTCCAAGTGACTACAGGCTGATCCTACACACAACAAAAATAATATACTATGTATGAGTGTACTTAAGAGATGAATAATTCATTATATAATATAATCATTATTAATCATCATTATACCATTTTTACTTATTGTTTTATCACAAAAAAGCATAATTTAAGGAAATTTACAAGCAAAACTTTTTTGTTTTAGTTTTGTATAGAGAAGACAGAAGGTAGAATTCCTTCTCAGTTTATTTTTTTGCTGTCTGTCCCGCTGGGGAGATTTATTTTCACTTCTGGCTCCAAAGCCGCAGCAAGAGGTGAGAGAAATTCTTTAAAAAAGTGAGAGGATATTTCCTCTTAGACAGTTGTCACTGGGAGAACTAAGCCCCTTGAAGGACATACTCCTCACCTATTGTTTGAGTGACAGTAGAATTTTGGATTTCCCATACATTTCTGGTAATTCCAGTGGGCAAACCTAAGGGCCAAGCTCTACAAACGTAATTTAGCACCCTCCCAGTTAGGTGCTAGCTAGGTTAAGTAATTTTAATTCTTTAGCTCCTCTGTAATCAGTGGAGCATTTAGTGATTGCTTTGGTCTGCTTTTAGTTTCACTGGTTGTGGGTTTTACTATTTCCCCCTGGTTTCTAGAGAGTTATGAAAAGTAGTAGGCTGGGAGAGTAAAATCAACAGTTTGAATATATATGTGGTCACAGCCAATCGCTGAGGGAGGATACCCAGTAAGTGGATGGGGGGGTGGCATAAATAATTTGAGGCCTAGAGCAGAGAGGCTCTTGTCCAGGTGGAGATGTTTCCAGCTTAGAGGGCTACTGCCCTTCTGGGCAATCCAGCTGTGCTTCTTCATTTGGTCATTGAGGTCCCAGCTTTATTAGCTGGGGAGCCTTGTCTACTGAATTTTGCTTGAGCTAACCAAGGGATTTACCTAGGGATCTGGTCTGAAGAACCCAAAGAAAACATGTCCGGCTGATGTTTGAAAGAGGAATCCAAACATCCAGGGACATTTATGAGTACTGACCGGTGTGTGAGATCCCAGTGACTGCTACTATCCCTCATACATCAGTGCCAGACTGTGATGAACAGTGGACATTCCTTAT